AAAACATTATGTCGAATTTTTTCAATGAAAAGCGATCCAACTGATATAACAAGGGAATGAAGCCACGCAAAGGGGTTACTGAGTGTGAGAGAATAAGAGAAAAAGAAAATACTATTAATGAGGAGAACAATAAAAGAACAAGATTTAAGAAGACAGAATATAACGATTGATATCGTATTTACATTTTTGCACATCAAAGTTGGCTGGAAAGAAGAAACCAGAAAAGAATATCTCAAAGGAGAAGAGAGAAGAAACTGTTAGCATAGAACTTGCGGTTACATCTAGCCATTCTAACTTTAAATTGATGCTTGTCACCAATCTAGTACTACGCTTAAATTCATAAAGTCTAGGTACCAAAGAGGAGAGCTCATTAGAGAAACTGAAAATGAAAAGTAGAAAAGGCACAAGGAATCTACTTTACGAAGGTGGGAAAGTGAGTGAAGCTGAAATGCCAGTTCAGAACCAATAATATTGCAGATTCTTCTTTGTATTTTATCAAGGAACTCTAAATATATATCAGAGGTAATATTCGATGCCTGGACACATAATAGGCTTATAAACGAGTAAGATAGATTCTGGGGAGAAAAATTAAATAGAAACACTAAGAACTGCATATTCTATGGAATAGAGAAAAAGAGTCAGCCCCAAACAATATCTCAGCACTGTCACAGGTTAGTTTTTAACATTGTTGGCGCCTCTATGCTGAATGTTTTCGTTGGGTATTACGTAATGAGTGAGGAAAATCGGCGTAATTTATTTTCCTTTTGCGCCAAAAACACAGCAGCGGCCGTGAAGAGAAGGAATCGGCTCGTGTGTAAAGTAAGATGGTGGTGTGATTCTGCGTCATCCAATCACCGCGCAGTATTTGCTGCAACGTGAATAGGATGTTAATAAATTTTCTTGCGTAATATCGCTATGTTCCTGGGGCAGCACGATTAAAACGAACGAGCATGCTTACATATCAAATCATGGCTCGGTTTCGTGAACTAAGGTTTAGGATTGTTTATCACGTCTGTTTCAGACGTTCAGAACAATTAACGAGCCTTATACGAGATTTATACGGGAGACGGATACTTTTTCACATGGACTGCAAAAGAGGGTCTGGCAACAAGCGGGAGCTCCGGCTTTATGGAGCTACACTACAGACCTTTTTCTACGGTTTCATTCATGCGAAGGAGACAGCCTTGTACTTTTAAGTCGCTCTGTGGGCTGCCCCTGATGATGACTGACTCACAAGAGATGTGGGCCTTTTGAAAAGGACCCTCATTTCCCGTTGATTTAGTCCGTCTTGTATCGTAGTGAAGCCACAGCATTCCGCCAGCCAGATATGTTATACAAATATACTTATAAATGTTTTTTATTTATTTTACTAATTCATCTAAATACAAGGCTCAAGAGAAACTCAAGGTAGAGGCTTACTGAATGAGGTTGTTGTATGAGCATAAAAGGAGAAGGTAAAAAGTTCAGTTTATGAGGATATGTAGGAAAGATAACGATTAACATTAGACATGAAGAGGTTAAGATTGTAATCATTGAGAAAGCATCTTCCCAGGACTCTATTTCACAAAGTAGCAGTTCCCGCGAAGAAGCTATTCGATGGAACTTTCCTTCTTACCTATGAAATACGAAGGAAATGGGGTTGATTCGACCTGTGGACGTGGCAGGTCTTGTCTTAGATATAAATGTTTGAACTGATGCAACTAAGGAATGTAGCTCATCAGAACATTTGCCATGGAAATAGCGATAGAGTAGCGAGAAGTTTCTGGCGTTTTGTCTTTGGGAAAGGAATTGTAGAGTGGGAAATAATTCATCACCCAAAAGATCGTGTAGACACTTTTGAGCTCCATCAAGTTTGGAAAGTGAGGACTGGGTAGCTCTAGCTCAAATATGGCAGCAGTAGTCCATTTTTAGTCTGATCTTGCTCTTGTAAAGACAGATTATGGCAGGAGAAGCAGGTACTTATTGAAGTGAAACAAGGAACCGACTGTTTTTTTATCATCTTTGCGCATATATATTTGTATATATGAGTTCCACCTATCTCTGTCTTCGGGTGGAGATGAACTCAGACAAGGCTATCCCTACGGGCAGAGTTTCGTCTGGGGAGGTAGACAGCCACCCGACCCCGTGTATGCAGGTCTATGTGGAATTTTTTGACCCAGTGTACGAGTTCGGAGTAGCCCCACGTTAATATGTGCCACATACGGCCTTGTGGGGAGGACCTGGGTAGATACTGAGTTCCACTTGAGGCCTGGGGTGTACTTAAGTCACAATACGCGTTTAATGCAAGGAGACTCTCATTTAGGTGTAATGGTGTAAATGAGAAGACGTTAGTGAGGAGAAAGGACAATAAAAGAACAGATTTCAGCAAGACAGAAGATAGCGATTGACGTTATGTGTAACGGCTATTGGAAACGAGGCCGCACAAAAAGAATGTGATTTATTTATCATTTATTTAATTAATTCATTTATTTATTCATTTTTTACGATAATATTAATATGCGCACACATTAATTATATCATATGCACGTCAAGATACCATCTCCTGTGGTGAATGATGAATGATATTAAATGTGAGTTGTTTATTTTGTATAATTATATTTTTTTAAGCAATTCACCCCAAACAAGGCGCGAGTGCCACTAGCACGCAAAGGGTTTACAGAGAGTGGGAGCAAGAGTAAATTAGCATGATAGAGGAAAGGGTGAAGAGAAGGACGAGGAATTAGATCAAGGCATCTGAAATGTTGATTGACATTGCATTTGAATAGTTGAAGATTATAGCTATCAAGGAAGCAAGTAAGAGGAAGGGAGTTTTACAGATGGGAAGTGCGAGACATGAATCTATTGGAGTAGAAGAGACGGCTACATTTAACCGCTTCGACAGTGATATCTTCTACGGTTTTGAGTCTTTCTTTGCATTGGGTTTTGTTTAGTATTTTGGTATTTTTTTTTTAGTATTTTGGTATTATCTCCTAGTATTTGTCTTATGTTGGTAGTTATATTATGGTCGTTCATGGTGTGCTGGTTAATGTGTGCATATACATGCGAAAAATATATGTGTACCTGTGATAAAAGCATCAATAAAAAGAAAAAGAAACTAAATGAAATCAGCGAGACTATATGTCTAAAAACATATATTTAAAAAAAAATTGAATCTAAAATTCTTAGCGTCTTCTCTCCATTGTATGCATGTGGAGTCGCATCAAAGTAAACATCACTTTTCCGATGAAGTCCTAAAGGACGAAATACGTTTCCCGTAAACTTTTTTCCATGTTGACATACCTGTAATGACAAAAGTACGCAGGTGCAGGTTTTAAGAAAGCTAAGGTTATAGTGTCCTTTTATAGTCCCAGTAAACAGAAATAGGAGAGTAACAAAACAAGGGGAGACTACTCTTGAGTATTCATAACAATATGTATGTACATAAACCGATAAAATTAAATGTTCTTGGTTGGAGTTTTGCGAATATCGTATCTGCTCATCTGCTATAATAAAACTGAATTTATTTACAGAAATCATATATTTCTTAAAAACGATACTTCAATTTCTATAAAAAGATGTTAAATTTTTAGGTATAAGTCTTATCCACTATTATGCATCTTATATTGGCAGTTTTTTTAATTTATTTATATACGTAATATTTAATATAAGTAGATGGTTTGGTAATTTTTTTATGTTTTTGTATAAAGGAATAAATGGTTGACTCAATATTATGCAGAAATTTTCATTAGTTCTTATCATCGGTTCTAGCATATTTAACCATTCTCTCATCCTTCTAAGGAACAAAACGTAGGTGTAATTTTTCGGGGAAAAATGAAATGATGGACCCAGACTGACGTTGTTTCTGTTAGAGAACGTTGTTTTGAAAATAACATTTGCTGGTTTAACTTTTCAAACTATAAATTTCTCTGAAAGGATTTCGTATTGAATAAATAACGTGTGTGTAAAAATCGGTTCCAGTTTGTGCAAAAATTTGATGTGTTCATCAACTAATATAGACAAGTTCAACCTACCCAAAATGAGAAATGGCTTTACACTTGCTTTAAGCAGACTACGAACGATGTCATAAACGGGTATCAAATTTATGATGTTTTTAATTTTTGCTAGCACAACTCCCCACGTGTATGAAAGGATCTAACAACCCAATTTAACTCTCAAGGCTTAGCCCGACCCGTAGCCTGATTTTCAAACACTTTCCAAAGATATTACGCGCTGAGATTCGTTCCAGAAGCAGATGATAGCCAGACGTCACCTGCCAGACAAATCGACCATGGTGAGATTCGAACCCCTGGCCTGATGGTCAAAAAAACACACGTTCTAAATACTCGACCAAGCGCCCATATAAGAGAGGGGCCAAATCTCAAATAAATAAATAAATAAATAAATAAATAAATAAAATAACAAATCGTTGTTTTTTTTTAAATTTAAAAACCATATCTTCTTTTCTTGAAAACGACCAGCGATGCGTGTGGTAATAAAATAAGCGCATCACGTCTCCCCTCTTGCTTTTAGCCATCCATCACAATAAAAAGAAAACATTTTTCAGCACTAAAGCAAAATGAGTCAAATAAAGTTTCATAAGCTTCTATACTTAGAGTTGTTGCTATATTACAATGCAGTTAAGTGTTGCAACGAATACAAATAATTTTTAAAGAAACTGGGATCAAATATATGCTAACTTGTATGAAAAAAAACATGAAGTCCTTAAAGAAGAGGGAAAAAATCAAAGCAAGCCCTGCCTACAGCCTTTAAAACTTGCTTAAAGAAAAAAAAATCTGCGGCTAATATTAAAAATATATATGGCTTAATTCCTTTCTAACTACTCTTTTTTTTTTTTCACTGCTTCTTTCTTCTTTCGTTCCGGTATAGTTTCCCGTTTCTGTTTGTAGATCACTCTTAGGTTCTATTCTCAGAACTCAGATAATCACCGCAAGCGTTATCAATACGAAAGGCGCCAACTGATACTGAACTAGGTAATGAAAAGCTTTAGAGATAGCCATGTGTCAGATAAAAGAAGCAAGAGAGAAAGAGGAAGAGAAAATAAAGAGAAAGAGAGAGAGAGAAGGGGAGAAAGAAAGGTAGAAAGAAAGATCGAAAAGAGAGTGAAAGAGAATGGAAAAAGAGAGAGAGAAAGAAAAAAGAGAGAGAGAAAGAAAGAAGAAAAGAAAAGAAAGCGTGAAAGAAAGAGAGAAAGAAAGAAAAATAGAAAAGAAAGAAAGAAATACAAAGCGAAAAGAAAATGAGAAAGATAGAGAAAGAGAAAAGAAAACGAGAAAGAAATTATAAAAGAACTGCGAGAAAGAAAGAAAAAGAGAAATGAAAGCAAGAAAAAGAGAATAGAATGCAAGCAGAAAGAAAAGTAGAAAACAAAGCGATTAAGAAAAAGAGAAATGGAATGCGAGGACGAAAAAAAAAAAAGAAATGAAAGCGAAAAAGAGAAAGAAAGAGCGATTGAGAAAGAAAAAGATAGGCGAAAAAGAGAGAAAGAGAAAAAGTAAGAAAGAGAGAGAGAGAGAGAGAGAGAGAGAGAAAAGAAGAAAGAAAGAGAAAGAGAAATCGAAAGAAAAAAGATAGGAAATGCAAACAAGCGAGAAAGAAATAGAACGAGAGAGCGAAAGATTGAGAGAACAAAATAACAAAATAGATAACGAATAAAATGGTTCTCAAAGAAATGGAAGACAAGAAGAAACAGATTTGGCCATTTCTGAATGCATTACATATGCAATACCGATAAGACCTTGCATCCAATGCTGCAAGGGTTATTGCAAGGTGAGGTTATCAGAAATTGGCACTAGTTGATAAACGAATTGGTAACAGAACGAGTAAACAGGATTAGACCATCTTTTTCCGGCCTCCGGGCTGGGATCCACTTGTAGCACCTGTTCGTTCATCCCTTTACGGCGTTTCTGTCTTCAGGCAATTCAGAGATAGCTTTGAGAGTTGCCTGGCCCTGGGGGTCCCAACAGCCCACCTCATTGCACTAAAGTGGGGGAACAAAGCCAGCGTGACAAATTTTTGTCCTTGAACCATATGTCCGCGTATAAGCACCTCACATTTAAAACGACCTCATGTTACATCCATATTGGAGGGGACGAGTAAATGGTGGATCAGAGTGTAGTATCTGTACGCTCTGCGAAAGATAGTATTTTTTTCTTTTAGGTCCCAAGTCCTTTTCATAACTTTCCACAACATTTGTTGCTCAAATTAATCCTTTATCGTCTTTTGCTGTCCCTGTTCTGTTATTTTCTTTTTAAGGACATAGTTGATCATCGATCTCTACAACTTTCTATCTCGTGTGGGTCTTAGCAGTTTTTTTTCCCTTTGTTCCCCCATTTATTCACACAAGTTTCTCAGGTAAGGGGCCTGCTGCCTTCCCCCGTCTCTTTTGCTCTCAGTATGCCCTGTGAGTGTTAAGTTTTCTGAGCTGTCCTTCCTCATTATGTGTCCATGGAATTTCAGCTGTCTCTTCCTGGTTCTGTTCTTTCTATGGAAATTTTTTTAAAGACTTCTTTGTTGTCCATAAAATTGTCAGTATCCTTAGGTAGAACCACATTTCTGCTACCTCTAGTTTTTTTCCCTCATCCGGGGGTAGGGAGAAATTGTCCAACATTCATTGCCAGATGGATATCACATACCAGCACTCTTTACTTTGTTTCTAATGAAATTTTCATGTTTCATGGCATCTTCCGCTAGGCAAATGCGTCTTCGGATTTCGGTGTCGCATTTTTCGTTCTCTGTTAAAACTCTCCCCAGACATTTGAACTTCTGCACCGACTTGATGTTTATATCTCCAATTCGTAACTCGCATCTTGGGCTTTTTCTCTTGCTGATGACCATGTTTTAGTCTTCTTGCAGTTGACAGTTAGTCCTTTTTTCTCGCTTTCTTCTAGTGTCGTTTCATTTCCCTACGTTCACACACAAATATCGTTTCGTAAGTTACTCGCTTTTTTTTTCATGCTTCTCTTGCTTTCAATATGTCCCGCGAGTATTAAATTCCCTTTCCTCATTTTGCGTCCCAGAAATTCCGGCAGTCTCTTTCTGAGTATTTACCAGTGAATTTAGTGGTATAGTGCATATGTCATTGACTACTTGCCTCGAGGTCTAGCAATCAGGACACTTGTACATATCTGATTACTGTTAGCGTGACTGATGTTGCAGAGAAACAAAGAAAAAGCAACCTTATTCATTATAATATTTGATGATAATTAAGAGTTAAGTTTAATATATTTACTTGCTTTGTCACGACAGAAATAATGAGAAGAGAAAGAAAGAAATATACCGAAAAAAAAGTAACACTGTTTAGAATTATATAAGTGAATGATTAAAAGGTAATATTCACATGTTAAGTTTAAGTTTATAAATCTATTTCCTTTTCTATGATAGAAATAGAAGCGAAGGAAAGAAATTCTTTTGACATGATTGGGAAGGATATTAAAATATTCTCGAACCTATACTAGGAGTAAACCGCCTGCATACCGATAGAAAATGAATTGAGTAAATATATATGTCGGAGTTAACTCCTCCTTCAGTTCGTTAACCCTTTCACCAGGGGTCTCTCTTCCCTTGCTATAAATAGTCGCTGACCCTTCGACTCTTCGTCTTTTTTCCTCAGGCCTTTGGGCCGACACCTGGAGGTAGATCTCTCTTTTTCCTCAGGCCTTTGGGCCGACACCTGGAGGTAAATCTCTCTTTTTTCCTCAGGCCTTTGGGCCGACACCTGGAGGTAAATCTCTCTTTTTTCCTCAGGCCTTTGGGCCGACACCTGGAGGTAGATCTCTCTTTTTTCCTTAGGCCTTTGGGCCGACACCTGGAGGTAAATCTCTCTTTTTTCCTCAGGCCTTTGGGCCGACACCTGGAGGTAAATCTCTCTTTTTTCCTCAGGCCTTTGGGCCGACACCTGGAGGTAAATCTCTCTTTTTTCCTTAGGCCTTTGGGCTGACACCTGGAGGTAAATCTCTCTTTTTTCCTCAGGCTTTCAGCCTTATTACCTCGAAGATGTGAACGCTCACAGAGATAGCGTTTCCTAAACACGCTGACACACACACACACACACACACACACACACACACACACACACACACACACACACACACACACACACACACACGTATATAATATTCACACACACACTTTGTTCTTTGTAACTTTTCCATGTAACTTGTTATTAATATATATATTTGTATACATATATTATCGGTCTTGTGTTTGTTTTTCTTTGCCTTCTTCTTTGGACTTAATTAAAGTCCAACTTTCTCATGTAGTTGGACCGGCTAGCAGGAAAATCTTAACCCACATGTGTTTCTTCTACTTCTACTTCTACTTCTACTCAACAACATCACAGTCACGGCCCACTACATATATAAATGGAAAGAGTGTAGTACAAAGATGTGTCTTCTCACTGGACGTATTCAACTTTTAGAATGAGGGGATTTGGGAAGAATTAGATATCTTACCAGGATTCTTTATTGGCAGCCACAATCTTGCCAACATGACACATGCAAATGATACAATGTTGATAGCAGACACAGAAAGGAAGCTACAAGAATTCTTACAGAAGGTAGTGAAGAAAAGCAAGAAGAAAGGATTAAACATCAATTGTAGGAAGACTGAATGCATGGTTGTCAGCCAAAGGGACATCCCAACATGCAAATTACAAAATGGAGATGCCAAAATCAAACAAGTATAACAATGGGAGATGCTTTAACAGAAGACAGAAAGCACGACACCGAAATCCGATGGTGCACTGTGATAGTATTGGATTTTTACGTAATATCAGTCCTCCGATATGTCAATGAATGCTGGACAATCTCCTCACAGACAAAGCAGTGACTCGAAGCAACAGAAACGTGGTTCTACAGAAGGATTCTGATGATACCATGAAATGAACAGCAACGACAAAGTTTTAAAGAAAATGGAAACAAAAAAGACACTTATACTTAACATTAGAAAGAAATTTATAGGGAATTAGGGAAGAAGGCTTGGAAAATTTGACACACACAAGACATACTGAAGTCAAGGGGGACAGAGGAAAACAGCACATGACCTAACTAACGGGCTTGACAGAATAGCGTTTAGGCGAGATAACAAAAAGATAAAATTTACTAAGAGCTACAAAGAACAGGAAATTGTGGAGAGCCATGATCGTTCTGAAGGGACATGACATATAGAAGAAGAAGAACAGTGTTCATCATTTGCTATGATGATTAAAAGGAAGATTCAAATTTGAATTGTATAAACAACAGAGAAATAAAGAAACACAGAGGAAAAGAGACAGTATTCGTTATTACATATAATACTTTCAGCTCTGACTAAAATGAAAGGTAACACTTGAATTGCCTTTCTGTTCCCTTTAAGTATCCCGTCAGTGATAACAGATCAATTGATTTTACGTCGATGCACACGAAAGACATTAACAAAGAGACTACATTGTTGATAACAAAGATCTGTGATGTCCTCCTGGAAAAGTAATGTCTCCTATTTCTTTTCTTTTTCTTCTTATGCTGTTCAGGCGAGTAATTTATTCTTCGTATTGTGTATCGTTATTTTGCAAGGTCACCTTGTGTGTTCAGCTGAATCTAATCTTAGAACCAAATATATCAGAATGAAGGATATCAAATAGCCATGGTCATAGGTTTCGATATTTAATCTATAAATGGTTTTATCATTTCAACTGTATGTGCCTCTAGCATGTGCGTGCGTGCGTGTGTGTGTATGCGCACGCGTGTGTGTGTTTTAGGGGGATTTTCTAAGGCCGAAAGTATGGGGCACCCAGTGAAGATCGAACTCAATATTCAGTCGTAATAGATCTAGCGAGGCAAGCTTGCCAACTATTATGTCACGGAGAAGTGTCCCTTATTAAGTGAAGCTTAGGTATGGCACAGGGCCGAAAGTATGAGGCGTCCAGTGAGGATCGAACTCACTATTCAGTCCTAACAGATCTAGCGAGACAAGCTTGATAACCATTATACCAGGCGGAAGGTTAGAGGCGGCACAAAGCTGAAAATATGGAGCCCCTAGTAAGGATAGAACTCACTACTGAGTAGTAATAGTTGGAGTCTAATGTAACAGTATTTAAAGCTTATGGTCCTTTTTTAAAGATTTAAAAATGTTTAATCAAATATGAGGGAAGTCTTATTGTCCAGGAGTTACAGAAATTAGTCGAAACCTGGGATTTCCAAAAATGGTACTGTCAGTAATAACAAAGAAAGCAAGAGTAGGCTTAAGGAAACTTTATTCTCCTTGGAATAATTGATGCCTGCGTAGTGACTATTTATAGTCCTCTCCAAACGAAAGTGGTCTCCAAAGGGAGGTAATCATAAAACAAGGGAGATTAGTCCCGTTTACTTTATGACACTCTTTCTGGGGCCGGTGGGAAGATCCAGTGGTGTGTTGAAAATATGTTGACGGTGGGGAACGGTTAGGATAAAGGGGTAACAGAGAAAGCTTAAATTTATTTATTTTTAATTAATAACCAAGCTTAAATTTAATAATTAAAAATAAATAAATTTAAGCTTTTAGTGCAGACGTTGACGAAACGGGAGCTTCACAATTTTCTTAGAAATTATGAATACAATGGTGGGATAAAATGTTCTCGACTCGACTAAAATGTATTAAAAAAACACAACCTTTTCTTTGGTCAGTTGAGTATATCTTGGGGAGGTGGCTTTTAGTACGCCTTTGATTTGCTATAGATATAGATAGATGTAGCTAAAGTTCACTTGGTTGCCAGCTCATTCATTCTGTTCATTATCTAATTTTGCTCATTAATTTTCGCCCTGTCAGCGAGGCTTATAATACGCCGAATTCTTCCCTGCAATGAGGTAAGATCTTTTCGAAAGGGCCAATCTTTCACATGGCTAAATAAATCCGGCCAATGTTTAACTTTTTAGTTTAGAGCCTTTGTTACACTAGTGAAAACCTGACCTATGTCTGCCTTTTTGATACCAGTGCAAATCGGGTCTATATCTGTTTCTTTGACCCGTGTAACCGGATTTATATCTTACTCTAGTGCAAACCGGACATATATTTGTCTTCCTGACTCCATTGTAAACTAGACCAATGTCTGCTTTTTGACTCTAGTGCAAACCGGACTTATGTCTACCTTTTTAAATCTCGTGCAAACCGGACTTATGTCTGCGTTTTTGACACTAGTGCAAATCGTACCTATGTCTATCTTTTTGACACGAGTGCAAACAAGACCTATGTCGACTTTTTTGAATCTAGTGCAAACCGGACCTATGTCTACCTTTTTGAATTTAGTGCAAACTGGATCTATGTCTATCTTTTTGACTCTAGTGCAAACAGGACATATGTCTATCTTTTTGAATCTAGTGCAAACCGGAACTATGTGTATCTTTTTGACTCTAGTGCACACCGGACCTATGTCTATCTTTTTGAATCTAATGTAAACTGGACCAATGTTTACCTAATTGATTCAAGTGCAAACTGGACCTATGTCTGCCCTTTTTAACTTAGTGTAAACCGAATCTATGCCTTACTTTTTGACTCTAGTGCAAATTGGATTGATATGTCTTTAAATTAGCCAATCCAAAGTACCTATTTATCCACTTATGGATTAATACAATTTCTATTTAACACGCCTTACATATGTATTCATAAAATATTAACAATAGCCTTAAACGGACTAAATTGCATACGAACACTCAAGATGTAACCAGAGCAACAGAAGCGTAATTAAAAAAGGGAAGAAGAAAAAAAGAGCACGAGAAAAATTAATAAACATACGTTTTTTTTTTTTTGCTTGCTGTCTGTATGGTTCGATAAAAGCCTGAAGTGACATTTAATGGCATCAACAGTCGGCAAGACTTCCTAATGTGAAAGACTGCAATCGCAGATAATTACTGTCTTGTCCATGTACAGTAAAACGATTCTCAGCCATTAACGACAGGATTTACGAACATGGCAGCGATACGTAAATGTTATGACAAATTTACGCAGGAATTAACCGCCATGACTTTGTATCATCAATTAATTATTGCGTTCAGCAGACCCTTGGCTTCTGCAGTGAATAAACTGCGGAAGTTGTGAAATTTGATGAACCCAAAACCGGATGGAAACGATGAAGACAACGCTCACGACGACAGTTATCACGTGACTTACATATCACGTTTACTCGAGTGGTAGCGGAAAGGAAAGAAGTGCGCTGATTTACACCGCGTCAGAATAT